AACCTCATACTTGTGATTTCCATTTGAAGAGCGCATTGGATTGTGGGAAAATCAATGTTTATCAACACAAATGTGGCACATGCGCAGCGCGACGACTAACGCGCTTTAAACTTTTACCCATGATGATACTCGCTTAGTAGTATACTTAGACTTTATTCAGTTCATTGACCTCTGATTTTATGTACAAATATTTGAAAACATATAAAGTAAAGAATGATAATATGTTTATAAAGTACGATAAATACAAACTTCGCAGTATTTACAATATTTTAAACATTTTCACGTTTCTGATAAGCACAACGCAAGTACAATGCTAGGTTTGTCTGTAACATTTGTTACAACTGCATTTAATGTGGGCGGCCGAATTTTCTTTAATTAAACAGTGAGGATGACCCCGAGGTGTTTTACTTGAGCAACACGTTCAATATTATTGCCGCCAATTTTGTACTTGTGAGGAATTGTTGCACGTTTCTTAATGAAGCTTATCATATTACATTTATTCTGATTTAAAGCGGGAGGGTCGTCACCTGCGCACGCGCGGGAATTGAGTCTCAATCGACGCAATCTGATTAAAATCTGATGTAGTGTACGGGCTTTAATTATTTTAGCTATAAACTTATTTTAATTTTATTTTTTATTACTTTTGTTATTAATGCCCTTTTATTTTATTATTTTACTTTGATTTTGATTTTTTTAATTCCGCCCTACCTACGTCTGATCCGACGCCTATGTAAGTCCCGTTCAAATCTCACGTAAGTAACAGCCAATCACAGCCCCCCTTTTATACAGGCTATCGGTTGCTTACTTTTCAGTGTATACGGACAATCTTTCTGTACATTATATTTTGCCCACTTGAATAAACCATTAATAGAAAATTGCTAGTATATTTTTATTTTCAAAAGAAATTCCACAGCATTTTAAAATTGTTGTCATTACATTGAATATTTTTTTCACTTCCAACAAATGTGTACACTTCCAGATACATCTTTGCCAGCCAAGGTTCGTTCATTCA